CACAGCTGGGGGCAGAAGAACAATAGCCTTGACCTCCTAACACACTGGACACAGCTGGGGCCAGGAAGACAGCAGACTGGACCTCCTAACATGCTGGACACAGCTGGGAGCAGGAAGATAGAGGCCTGGGCCTCCTAACACGCTGGGCATTGGTAGGGGCAGAGGGACAGTGGCCTGGGCCTCCTAATATGCTGGGCACCAGTGGGGGCAGGACAGTGGCCTAGGCTTCTTGACATGCTGGGCAATGGTGAGGGTGGGAGGGCAGCAGCCTGGGCCTCCTAACACGCTGGGCACAGCTGGGGGCAGGAGGACAGCAGCCTGGGCCTTCTAACATACTGGGCACCAGTGGGGTCAGGACAGTGGCCTGGCTTGGATTTCATCAAGGGTCTCACTCCTGGCCCGACGTTCAGGCTCATGAAGGCTCTGTTTAAAATGCTGGCTTCCCGTGGATGGATGAGCACAGAATAGCTCTGTGACGGGCCGTTTCTGCTCATAGAGGGGCCCGCTCATGGCATCCTGGTTCCAGGCATGCAGGGGTGGGGTAAGTGCCTGCCTGGTGGGACCAGTACCCTTAGGTACCATTAGGGGCTGACACTCAACACTCCCGACACCTAGCAGCACAGATCTGCACCTCCTGTGCCAGCACCTCCTAAACCCTTCTGTGTCTAATGCTCAAAGGCACCCAGGATGCCTGCAGGGTCGAGCATCTGTCAGCCCCAGCAGGAAGTGAGGATACTGAGGCTTCCTGGGAGCCTGGAGCATCAGAGAACGAAGACTTTCTGGGCCATGGGTCCCCTTTCCAGATCACCTGGGGGTGTACAGTAAGGGGCAAACTAACTTCCTTCCTGCTCCCCAGGTCTCCTAGAAACCCCCTTTTCAGTCTCCATGGCCTTCCTTGGCCTTTTCCTCATTCCTGTACACAGCAGTGGGGGTCCTGGGAACCCCCAGAATAAAGACAGTTCAGGGGTGATGTGCCCTCTTCCTCCAAGGACACTTCATAGGCCTAGGAATTCTCTGCACTGAATCTTTGCAAGTGTAGGGGCAGCAGTGGGAGGCTGATGACAGACCTCACCCCAAGCCCTTGGGTCTCAGCTCAGTCATTCTTTCTCCAGAGGGGCCGCCTGGAACCCCAGGTCACCTGTCCTTTTCTTTCCTACTATCCCTGGCTGGTCACCATGGGATGGTAACCTTTAGCTTATGCGGTTCACCTCCATGCCAGACGCCAGCAACACTTCTTCCCAGTGCTCCATGGGGTCTCAATCCCGGAGCAGAGCCTGACACAAAACAGGCACTCACAGCCGAGGGCGAGGAGTCCACCTCGCGGGCCCAGAGGGCAGCCCCAGCCCTACCTCTCTCACCCACAGCCTCCTGCTCCAGGACGTCTTCCCTGATACCCATGCACAGCCCCGGGGCCTCCATGGCAGGCTCTCCCTTGGGGCCCATGTTGGCAGTGGTGCCCTAGCAACTGCTGGACTGAGGCCCCGGAGACCCATGGTTCTGCCCAGGTCAGCAACATCAGAGCAGATGTGAGAACTCCAGCTGATGGGCTCCCTCCTGACCCCCAGAACATCAACCTCACCCTGGCCAGAGCCTCCTAGTTCAAGCGCTAGCCTCCCAGCCCGTCGCTCTGCCCATCCACAGGCTTCTCACCCACCCTAGTATCCAACACAAGGGCAGATGAGACTCCAGAGGGGGAGCTGGATTCCAGGAGGCCCAGAGAGCATCAATGCCAGGCAAGAGTCCCAAGGTATGGGACCCTAGTTCCCCATCCCATGGTCCAGATGTTACCCCAAGGCTAACTGAGCTTGGGTCCAAGGCCTGGAGCTGTCTAGAGGCTTTCAGAGGCAGGGTCTTTCTTATTCCCTGGGAGGGGTCCCTCGTCCCCCCACCCCCATGCCAGTCGGCACTCACTCTTGGCTTTCTCGTTCTTGCGTGAGGGCCGCCATCGGATGCAGGAGCGGTGCTCATCCAGGTAGTAGAAGCGGACGAGACCTTTGGAGCCACCTCGGAGCTTCACCATCTGCGTCCCTGCCTGCATGGCACTCATGCACCGCTCCACTGGACACCACACATGCACGGACAGACAGATAGACAGATGGAGACACAGACAGAGTGCTCGTGAGCCCTCACAGCAGGCCGACCTCCTCCTCCCCACCCGCATGTCCCTCCAGTGCTGTCCCAGGGCGGAAGGAAGCACAAGACCGCCCACCCCCCTCATCTGGTCACACACACTTTGGGGCTCAGCCAAAGCCACGGCCACCAGAAGATATGGCCACCACACCTCCTGGGGATGCAGGGACAGGGAAGGTCCTTTCCTGCTTGGGCCACCTGACTCCCCTCCCTCCAATGATGAAGGAACACATCAGGGGGACCACAATGAGGCAGACACAACAGGGACTCTGCACTGGAGAACTCTGCGAGCCACATAGTCAGACTGGGTAGATGGACTGGGACAACTGGCCTGGCTTGCTGGCCTCCCAACACATGAGCCACGACTCACAGAAGCCAAGGGCCACCATCAGACACAGAAGCAGAGTCACACTTATTCTTTGGGACCACACAAGGCCATGGGGGACAAAGGGGACAGGGCAGAGGGTCTGAGACCCCCCAGGAACAGATCCTTTCTATCTCAGAGCAGCCTGGAAGATGCACCCAGGCAGGAAGTGAGGGTGGCAGGGAAGGAGGGGGTAGAGGGGGCAGCCTGGCTCTGGCCTGTCCAGGAGCAGAGCAGAGGCCAAGAGGACAGCCTCACCCAAGACAGACCACGAGAGCCCCTTCCCAGGCAGAGGGTTGTCCCACAGCAAGTGTCACAGCAGCAAGAGGGTGTCCACTCGGCGTCAACACACTGCTCCCATTCCCACCTGGACCAAAGGTGCCGCTGGCCCCCAAGTCATGGGGGACTGCCCGAGTGCCCTGCCCTTTAGCCCCTGCTTTCCCCTGCCCACTCCACTTCCTCCCTGGGTTCGCCCCAAGAGCCACCCTTGACCCTCAGAGGGGCCAAGAGAGTAGAGTTGGTCAAATAAGATAAGAGACCCTAGGCTACCAATAGCTCTGGGGACAGGCTCTCCTTGCCGCCACGAGTCCAACCAGGAGAGTCTACAGCTGGATTGGGCACCAAGGCCCTGTGCCCAGTGTCCCTGCTCCTGCCCTGGGGTGGGATTGCTCGCCCCTGCTCACCAAACAGGCCAGGCTGCTGCCTTGGAGACACAGCCACACTCCCTGCGACCTGGAGCAGCAGTTCCTCGGCCAGACAAGCCACTGCTCCCCGGGCCCAATAGTGGGCGGCAGGCGTGGCAGAAGTCATGCAGGACCACGGACAGGAGCAGGACATCCACTCAGAAGCCAGAGAGGGCCAGGCACACCTCAGGTGCAAGTGGAGAGCTCCTGGGGTCCCTCCTCAGCCTTGTCTTTTTTCCTGCTTCCTGCATCCCTGAACCGCCCTACCACCACCACCACCAAGGCTCCAGAAGTGCTCTCAGAACCCTCAGGCATAGCCCACTTGTCACCTGCATCACAGGCTAGCCTGTCCCACCATCCAGGGCCACTGAAGTCCCCAAAGAAGCTCCGCCCAGTGGCTGGTGGGGCGGGAGGAGTGGCTGAGCCCCACCTCACCCCTCCTTTGGCCCAATCCCAGTGCTGATCTGTGGCTGCCACGGAGCCCAGATGCTCAGAGGATTTAGGCCAAGGGAACTCCCAGATGGGCACCCAGGAGGGGACCAGGGAGATGCCAGCCCCCAGGCCAGGTCCTGGCAGGCAGGATGGAGGGGGACTTCCAGGCGACTCTAGCTGCCCTAAGAATGTGGTCGGCGTGGCCTGGGCCATCCCACCCTGGGCTCCTCTGCTGAAATGCAGCGCCAGAGTTCCAGATTCACAGGGCCCCTTGAGAGGGCTCCTCAAGTCCAGAGGCAGGCAGGCCCTTGGTAATGCAGGGACAGCAGCATCCTGTCTCCAGGTCCAGCCTGCCTTCACCTCCCTGGCCCAGGGGTGGACACGGGGACAAGAGCCCTTTCAGACGGTCAAGGCTCCCAGGCTCAGGCTGAGCACATGCAGGCACCCTCACCCCGCTGAGGAAAGGTCCTCCATGGCCCAGCCCCTGGCCAGTGACCTTTTTCACAGTAGTGGTGTCCGGTGGTGTCCCAAGCATGTTCCTCACCAGATTCCAGTCCTTGAGGCGGAACCAGCCACTCTCCACTAAGCACCACCTGGGCCCTGGCAGCCTACCTCCTGCCCACAAGCTGGACTCTGGGCTGAGGCAAGCCTCAGTGAGCAACACATGGTCCTCAGTACAACTTGGGTGGGGGATACAACAGAGGACTGGGGAGGAGGAAGGACAGAGAAGAACCCTGCCTCCAGGTACTGTCTGTCTAGGTACCAGAACCTGCTGTCTGGGTCGGGGTCTGCCAAGCGCCCTGTGCTGCCTCATCCCAAAGCCAATTTGGCAAACATTCTTTCTCATTGGGGGTATCAAGGGGTTCACATGGAGTCCCTAGGGGAAGCTCTGTGGCCCCTGGTATTCACCTTATCTGCTCGAGTGGCCGCCTATTGTGCTAAGTATGCAACCAGGTGCTGGGAGACTCTGCCCAACATCCTTTGAGCCTATGTGCCATCCCATGCCCACTCATTCTCCAAGCCCAGGCACTGCCAGGCCTCAAAGGAAGGATAGGCATGTGCCTCACCCATCTCAAGGTCCTGCTGGAAGCTAGGTGGTCTCCAAGGGCAGCCTGCAGACAGTGCCTGGGCCTTGGCATGCACAGACCCCATGGACATTGGCAGCCTGTCCCATTGATGCTGTGCAGAACACACGGTCAACCTGCCTGAAGCCCCAGTTCTCCTCTTCAGCCCTCTGGAAGCTCCTGAGGGTCATTCAGAAGTGTCCACAGAGGTAATGAACCCACATATCCTACACAGAAGGAGTCACAGAGCCCCAAACAGGGAGGACCTGGCAGAGCTCAGCAGTCCCAAGATCACTGGGAAGTGGGGAAGTGCAGGCAGAGAGGACTTGAACTTGGTGGGCTGGTCCAAGAGCCCAGAACACCCCCTATCCAAGGCAATGTGATCAACTGGAAGTCAAACTCCAGAACCCAATTAGATGCCTTTGCCGAGGAGGCCCTAACTGACTTATCTGCAGAGGGCGGTCAGCGGCTTTGCGTGTTCTGCTCCAGAATTGAATTAGGAAACCATTAGTCCCTGGACAGGAAGAGGGGTGGGCCTGTGCATCTCAGGAAGATGGGGCCCCTGATCCCCATGCAGCATTACCACCAGGGGGGTTTGGGGGGACCTCCAAGGAGTACTATAACCAAACCAATAAACCTCCCTTCCTGGACCAGAGCTGAGGTTGGGGGGAATCCTCTGGCTGGTGGTCTCTGGCTTGGATGAGACCTCACAACCTACATCCTGGTCCAGGGTCATGCACCCCTTCATCTTGGGCTCAGTGTGACAGGCCCACCTTCGTCCTCTGCTGACCCTGCTGTCACTGCCCCGACTTCATCCCATTCCTCCACCTCCCGGATGTCCCTCCCTCCACGACACTGGCCTGAGGCTCCTGCTGCCCAAGGAGGCCGAGTTCTTCCTGTCCCCAGGGTTGCCAGCCCCGAGCTGAGAGGATCCCTCCTCCCACCCACTCACCCTGACAGCTAGTCCAAATCCTGGCTCTCCTCAAAGCCCCCCAGGCCATCTGGCCTCCTCACTGCCAGGTCCTGGCCTTCCCTTGGACCCTGACCCTGCTCTCATCCTGGTGGGCCTGGACTCCCCTCTGCTCCAGACAGAGGTCTCAGGGTGGCCAGGCTAGGTGAGCAAAGCCCAGCTTTCCCATCGAGGGCCCGAGCCCCAGCACTGCCAGCTCCTGAGACCTCTTGGGCTGCCTGAACTATAATCCTCAACTGACCAGCCAAGCAAAGGCCTGTCTAATCCACCCTCTGACACATGGCTTCACCATTGAGGCCCCCCTCTTCCTGAGGGCCAAGGTAACCCCACCCCCTCCACATGCCAGAGGCTGGGCAGCCTAGGACGTCAGGAACTGTGCCAAGTCGGAGGGTCCAGGGCCTCAGGGCATGATCACACAGGTTAGAGATGCAAAGAGCTGGCTAAGCCCATGGTGCCAGGCCCCAGGATCGCTCAGATGTCCAAACCAGAAGCATCAGTTCCCCCCCCCCAAGGAAAGGACTCATACGCCACGCCTTTACCCTGTCTGTCAGTGTACAGATAGGGGTACCCCAAGCTCAGTTTCCAGCTCCTTAAAGACCCAAGATGGGCAGAGTCAACCAGGTGCCACCTGCCCACAGAACTGCGCACTCCCCATAGCTAACATCGGTCACCCTTTGACAACCACTGTGCCGTGTCCTGAGGGCATTTTTATTTCTCATTTAGCCCAGTCACTTCCTTGCACAGTTGGGGGCAAACAAACCAGTCCACCCTTCATCCAACAGGCACCCCAGCCCAGGCAACCAATGCCAAGAAATTTCTACACCCCAAGGAGGCTCTGGAAGTGCCTGGCCCCTCTGCTCCTTGGTACCCACCTCCTTGCCTGATAACCCAGTCATCACTGACCTGACCTCTTCTCAGCCACACGAGATGCTTCTCCAACCAAAACAGGCTCAAGAATCAGAGTCATGGGAGGCTTGGCCTACGCTCAGGACTGTCACCCAGCCTCAGCATACTCACATCTCTCAGGCTCAGCCCACCTCAGTCAGCCTCCCAGGACCCCACCCCAAACCCCACCTGAACAAAGAGGTCTTGCTCTGCTCACCCGGGGTATGGTCACACTGAGTGAGCGCCCTGGGGAGATGACAGAACCAAGATCCCAGGCGTGGTCCCAGCCCACGGTCACCAGTCTCTTCCTGCTTACTGGCTCCCTGGGGCCTCAGCAGCCACCGGTACAGCCCTGCAGCCCACAGCACTGAGCTGAGAATGGAACAACCACACCCCGCTGGTCCATCCCTCAGTCCCAAGTGGACAGGAAGGAACTCCATGAGGGAGGAACACGCCGTGCCTCATTCCCTCAACGCTTTCCCTGCTCTTCGCGGCCCCTTACCAGGGGTCCTTCCTGGTCCTAGGACCCTCTTTTAGTCCTAGAAGGCTCTCCACACCCTCAAGGCTACCAGAGGTTGGTTTGTGCACCGTATGATCCCCTGGGACTCCTTGGGCATGGAGCTGCCTCCCCTTCTACGCTGTCTCCAGCAGCCAGTACAGAACCTGGCACGTAGCAGATGCCTCATGGGTAAGTGAGACAAAAAGATGAGAGGAGACATCACAGAAGAGGACAGACCCAGCCTTCGAGGACAAAGGCTGCCACAGTCACCAGAGCCAAGGCTGCCATGCCAGCTCTACGGATGTAGCAGCAGCCAGCTCTCCCTTGGCTCAGCCACTTCCTCTCGAGGTTCTCGCCATCAGCAGGAGCTCTCAAGCCAGCTCATTGACCTGGATGGGACAGGGGCCCAGCTCACTGACCTGGATGGGACAGGGGCCCAGCTCACTAGGGCTTGGCCACCACTATCCAGAGCCAGCAGTTCAGCCTTGTGCTGGAAGACACAGGGCATGGGAACACACAGCAGACAGTGTCACCCTCCAGGATAGAGAGAGGGCTCCGAGGACCCCAGAGCCCACAGTGCCATCAACCTGAAAGTGGCCCTCCACAGAACAAGTTCCTGCATGAAGGCCCAGCCTTCGCAGCTGGGGTGGTGGGTCAGGGTCCTAGCCCTGCTTGCTGCCTGCTCTGTGCTGAGGGGAACGGATCTCGCTCCATCCCTTCCCTTCCCCACTTCCATCTTCCACTGTGACCTTACACCAGTTCTATCTGTCTGCGTCTCAGTTTTCCCATCTTCCCAAAGAGCCCCTCCCCGGCCCCTGCAGCACATGTCGCTCTCAGAGCAAGATGGGGAGGGAGGGAGCTGACTCGCCCTCAGAAACCAAGGCCCCGCAGTTTAACTGTGTTTTTATGGCTCCGAGAGATCTTGTCCTAACACAGTTGGCAACATGGCCCGCGGTGTCAGCGGCAACATCCGCCTCTCCCTGAGGACAACTGCAAAATCAATTTCATCCTCCAACAAACCCACAAATGACAGCCCCAGGCTTCTGACGAAGGCCAGGATGACCCTTCAGGGCTGGCCCTGCAGGTGGGGTGTAGGGATGCACCCTAGTCCACACTCCGTCATTGAGCTGTGTGTGTGTGACGAGGTCAGGTGTCACATCTTCTCCTGCCCTGTGGCCCAGGGGCTGCAGACCTGCCCACTCCAGGCTGGCCCTCCAGCCTGGTCCCTCATTCCC